TTTTAAATTATTGTTATAATTTTTTTCTACTTTTTAAAATATATAATTTTTCTATAAACTTTCACGCACGAAATTTGATTGTCTTTTACATTAGAGAAATAAAAGTTTCCGTTTTTTTTTTTAAATTAACTAACAAATTAACTATTATAATATAATGTAATCTTTTTTTATATTTTAATTTTTCGCTTTGATCAATATGTTGGACAACTAGTGATAAACATTGTCGTTGTGTCAGCCAGTTGCATGGTAAGTCATTTATCCATTTTGCTCTTGTGCAAAGTTTCGTCACTATATACTAAATCAAACTCAGACTTGGTTGATCTCAATGAAACTAACACAAGTTACAGTAAGTTTGTTGATTAAATCTAAATTAACTTGAAAGACGATGCAATCGATTTTGTGGCTTGAAAACTCGAGACACGATTCTAAATATATTATACAAATATCGCATGGTTATTGGTATATTAATGAATTATATGCCAAACTAATATCTTCAATAAATAACAAAATATAAAAAAAATAAATTGCTTAATATAAATTATTTGTATGAACAATTTAACTTTATATAGTATTAATTAAAGTTACATTTAGAATTTCTTATGACGAGTCTTAAACAAAAATTTATAAAAAACTGGTAAGATCCGGTAATGCTAATTGAATTATATTTACAGTAATATTTGTAATGTAAGATAGACAACTACAAATTAATACTGCATATATAAATAAATACAAATAAGTAAAGAAATATTGTTATCGCATAGAATTTTTTTAAAAATTGTGTGCGGAGATATTTACAACTATTAAAAGTTAATATTGTTAATAGATATGTTTTTAAATTATTGTTAATTATTATATTTCTAATAATTATTAATTACAAAATAAAATTTAAAGAGAAAAGTAAGGATATAAAAATATCGAAGAAAATATTATGTCGACACTGTGAAAAAGTTTGCCGCATAATAGAACACAAAAAATATTTGCGGACAAAAAATGTTTTGTCTGAGAAATAATTATCGATGACAAGGTCGGTAGCATGATAGGAGATAGGAGACATTAAAGGCGTGAACGCAATTAACTGCGAGTTAATGACAGTGCTCCGAAATGCATTTAGCGTGCCGGTTACGAAGCGAAAACTTAAAGTCACGCCCACATTACAAGATCTAATTTAATGCGTACTTATTAAAATAATCTTTTACATAACTCTAGTGCAATCGTACCAAATTTGTTGTCTTCGCATGATGTATCAAAATAAATCTACGATAATGTAAAATATTTACATAAAAGAGAAATGTATTAAAAACTTGCGAAACTACCATTTCTTCAGCTCTATTATCTTATTGCAATTTTTTTCATCTTAAGTAAAATTAAAACTTTATGTATTTTCCTAATAATAATAATCAAAATGCAAAAGATTAATGCGTGTCAAGAGTTTAAGTCTATAAATCAGGAAAGTTTCTAATTATATATATCTCTCTTTTGTATTTATATTTTTGTAAAAGTAAAATGGGGGGAAAGTGATCTTAATTTTTAATAATAATACCTAAATTTACGTTAAACTTTTTATGTATTAGGAATTTATACATGTGATATAATTTTATTATAAAGAGGAGTGCTACTGTATCTATTTACAGAAAAATATTGGATTATGAACGCTCCACACACAACTATCGTTGCTCTCATTTCTTCAAGAATTCTTTGTACAACTTGGAATGAATTTTTTTATAGAAATTTGATTGGACAATTTGTTTTTTTCATAACTTGGAAACTTTTCTCATTAAATATCTTTGTAACTAAGCGCCAATTTAAAATTCTCTTAAAATAAAGTTTAGTTAAAATTAGCTAAAGAACAAGCTATCTTTATTATTCGTGAAATTTAATTTCAAAAAAATCTTTTAATCTTCAATGTTCAGTACTTCAATTGATTACTTATTAATATTGAAACAATCATATTTCTTTTTATATTCGTTGCTATTTATAGCTAAGAAAAGTTATGATGTGATTCTGGAAAATCAGCTGCATTTTCCAGACAATTCAAAAATTTTCAATCGCAATGATGAAAATGAAACTAATTTTTATTTTATTATGAGATTTTTGGTTTCTAGATTATATTTTATTATACGTCCCTATCTATATATGTGTATGTGTGTAATATAATCGGAAAAATATGAGATAATATGTTTTATGGTTTCGTTTAATGATATGTGTCGAAATTAATGAATGATTTAATCGGTTCACGTCTATGTTGAAAATCGTAAATAAAACATTACTTACCGGTGGTGACTACGCTGGGGAGCACCCCGGTCGCTGTGACGGCTGAAGGTGTGTCGGGAGCGACAGTATCCGCGACCTGTGTCTGCGTCGGCCTGGGATCGTAGGTCGTCGTGCTGTCGACGTAATCAGCGCTAAGCTCGTAATTCGTCATCGCCTGGTGATTATAATTCGTGTAACCGCCGGTGCCGGGACCTGACGACGTGTATTCGCTACCACCATACGTGTACCTGTCGCAGACAAATGATGTGTCTGTGTGAATCGTCTTCTTCCTCGTGTGACGCAATATCGCTTTGATATCGTTCGATGGCATTCGTATTTAAGTTTATATCACAACAATGGCAGCTACATCAAGCTATTCTACTTCTTTGATAAATTATAGATTTTTGTAATTTTATATAAATACTTTAAATAATTGTGTACAATATATTTGATAAATATTTATAAATAATTTTATAAATTATAAATGTATATAAGTAGAAGTTTAATTAAATTTTCTTAAGCAATCTGACGCAATTTTGACGCGTTCCATTATATAAAGTTGAATCATACTTACCCGCCATTATAGGGATGGTGTTGATCCGAACTGCTTGGTGTCTGATGCTCGAACACACTGCTGTCCGGCGCCGTCTCCGAGGCCGCCCTCATTTGTGCCCTGTGGAATCTAACTTCATCTTCGACCTTCTCCCGTTGTTTCTTCGACATGCGCCCAAATTTAACAGCTGTGAACAAAACAAAGAGTTTCATTAAATTTATATCGGATTATTAAAACAAAATTATATAAATATTAACTTCTTTGTGATAAATTAATAAAATAATTTGAAGATATAATCACGTTTAGATTATAACATATTTTTAAAAAATATATATTTTTTCGCGTAAAGTGCTCTTAAAGTTTCATTATTTAATGTTCTCTTATATTGTGAATAAGATTTAAAATTCTTTAATCAAAAATTGTTAATCACAATGGAACGGCCCTTCGACGATTTTCCATTATGCTTCTTGTTTATTTTAGCTAATTGAAATTACTTAGAATATAACAAAGATATGAATTTTAAATATAAATTTTATTGTATAAATTTTGCAAAAAATAATGTACGATTCAACATTTTAATGCACTTTATAGATCAAAACAATCTTATATACTACGCGTAAATTTTTTACCACAACCTTGTAGATATTGATCCTTATTCTATCTTACGCTTATTACATATACTAAGTTATACAGGCGACGTAAAAATTTCATTTTAATTCCGGACAATTCCTAGATAAGGTAAAGTATGCATAATCGAATAGCGCCGAACGCTCCGTTTCGATTATCTCTTTCTCTACCTTCCCCCTCACCCCTCTCTCTCCATTTTTACAAACGTATTATCGCCATTGACGAACAATCATTGAGATTAGATAGAAGGAGTCATCGACGTGACGGTTTGTCGTGAGGCGATAAAATCTAACGGCTGTTTTGTGAATCGATCGAAATCGAGATCGCACACGATCTTCCTCTCACTGTCTATCGGTCGGCAGACCGGTTGGTCGGTCCCTTCCTCGTCGCGAAGAAGGCTCGGCGAGGAACGCGGAAGAGCCTCGCCGCGTCCTCCTCGTCTTCTTCGGTGACGCTATCATCGTCTGGTTGCGACGCACCCACCCAATGATGTCACACACACGCGAACTACTCGGGCATACATATGCGCGTGTACTGTTTCGAAAGCATAACACATGATTTGGGATGTCCGTAACTTTATGCGCATATATATTCCGCATATATTTTTTGACCATCTTGGAATTTATTTTTTCTTGACAATCATTCTGAACACCAATATGATTCTTTTGGAAGCAATTGATAATTAGAAATTTGTTATACATTAAGCTGACTAAGCTTTTGTAGGTAGCAAAATATTTTTCTTTCTTTAATTTTTTAAGAAATAT